CGATCGGGTTGAAATTCGGCGTGCAGATGGATATTATGACGTAAACGTCCCTTTAGAAAGGTTTTTGAACATTCTCACCCCAAAGTATGATACTTTGCCAGTTTTAAATTGATCGGGCTGAGACTTTGCATGCATAAAGTTACTATGACATAGGTATCTCTTTAGAAAGGATTTTGATAAATTCCACCCCTAAGGGGATAAAATAGGGAATGAGAGTTTGTATAAATCTTCTTAGCCGTTGAATTTAGAATCATTGAATCTTTTTGAATTACATTCGGTAAAACGATGATTTGGGACCTGGGTAACGTATGATAGTTTTTTCACAGATGTCTCACGAGAACGGGAACTATGCGTCAATGCCCCAGGACTCTCTAACTCTTAACCACTGAACTTATTCTAGAGAGATTCGGTACAACAATAGTCGATAGAATAGTTTTTATTACTCAAACCTTACGTGATCGGGCACTGTACTGGTAAGATCCCTGCGGGATTATTTATTTATTGAAACTACGATAAATCATTTCAAAATAGGTAAATCTTACTTGGGCACTGAATTGATTCTGGTTAATTCTGTCAGAAGTCATTAATCTACGCGGACGAAGTCGCGGGCAACAGCTATCTACACATATAATAAATCGTAGAAAAGTCAAAACTGTACATTGAATATTTTTTAAAAGAATATTTGAAGCGTGATCTCTAATCGATACCGAAGCCAATAATGTGGTTTTTAGAATTTTTGTCTGTTTGTCTGTATGTATGGCCGTGATGATCTCAAAAAGTACTGCACTACTATTTCAAATTTTGCATGAATATTACTAACAAGTCTGGTAAACATATAGGCTACATATTATCACGCTATCATCTACGGGACTGAATCAATTCTGACGACATCCATTACCGTAGAATATCCCTTGATAAAAACTAATTCAAAAGCCTAAATTCTGCCAGAAGTCATTATTCTACGCGGACGAAGTCGCGGGCAACAGCTAGTTAGTCACAAATCTACAAACGGAGGATTAAAAAAGTTTTAACATTTCAAACGTGCCCGTAGGTATATTTCATTGCTTTGACTTTGGGTTCTTCGCGGTATTATGGTCAACTAGGGAATTAAAAGGAACACTGCCAGTCGGTTTGGTTACAAAATATTCATTACCGACTCCAATTTAGGGTGAATTTTATTATTATAAGTTACATGACTGTTATTGTCAGGTTCATAGATTTGCTTTAAAAATAAGTAATTCGAATTTCAACACGGTATGGAGGGAGCCTTATCGCACAGTGCGATGTTTTCTTCTCTTAAAATACTTTTAAAGGAATATTCTAAGTTTCAGTTGCTCCACGAATTACCTAGCAACGTAGTGGCCTCTTATTTAACGAAATAGTTCCTAAGTGTTTGTAAAATTGAATACCTACCTACCTACCGATTGAATTTTTCGTCAAATTCCGGTAAATTCCGTTCAGTATCTTCGTTGAGTTGAGTGATACTTGATTGATTTTATGCTATCATAGTGTAGAATGTACATCCTGCGTTTTAAAAAAACTTAAGTCTTTTACGAAAAGTATACAAAGGTTGTCTTGCCCCTCACAGCAGTATTACCAGCAACCTTACACTTAATTCTTACTTTCTATTCTCGTCACGTCAGCGCGTGCACCGGCAACACGTGTAACCTTCTTCTTTTCATCTTTTTCCACTTATTTTTAAATCTTTCCAACTGGAATGATTCGACGAATTTCAAAAAAGGAAGTTGAAGTAGGTTTCTTAAACGTAGGTACCTTATTGAAAATTATTATTATATGCTTAGATTCCACAGAAACGGTGGCTTCTCGAGCTCAATTAGGTTGCTATATGTTTTAACCGACTTCCCAAAAAGGAGCAGGTCCTCAATTCGGCTAGTAGCTTTTTTTATGTATGTACATCGATAACGCTGCGGTTTGGTCTCATAAAAATTTGATCCAGTTTGGTTCAGTAGTTTTCATATTATAAGCATTATAATTGGGTACTTCAATTATGTCATTTTGACGATACTTTATTTAAATTTGTACGTCAATAACTCAAGTATTCTGATCCGATTTGCGTGATACTTTTGTTTTTGTTCGGTAGGGTATACTTTATAGTTGATACTGTTGTCATCTGGTCAGTATCTGATGATGAAATCCCACGATCTCATCTCCTACGGTAATCGAGGGCAACCCTCAAATTATAAGCACATAATATTAAGTTTATTCTGTCGATTTCATCAATTGCGTCCGATGGTCATCATTTTATGTCAATGAGCTGATGATGGAAGGTATATCTCCTCAACGGTTAGTAGTTAAAAGAAAATTCTTTCAAAATTATGCTAACATATGTATCCAGCAGAATGTTCTTTGACGCTATTAGGGGGGATGATTATAGAAGGTACATTAACGTTTAGGTGTCAGATAGAAAAATGGATTTGGTACATTTTCATTTACTTGCGTTAAATATATCCTTGTTTCATTAGTTCCATATAGGCAATATTAATTATTTTTGAACGGAGAAGAAATATTAGCTTGTGCTTGATTTACCTTCCTACACAATATAGCCAAGTAAAATAAAAATAAAAACAATAAAACAAAATCCATAAGCCCATCACATGTCCTCAAAGGTCCACTTTTCTATCTTACTTTCTTTTACCACCGGCGTCTAATATTTTTCACGGGATTAAAATGTAAACGAGCAAACGGATCACCTAATGGTAAGCAATCGGCGCCGCCCATGGACACCCGAAACACCAAAGGCGTTACAAGTTCGTGGCCGGCTTTTTAGGGATTTGGAGTTTGAGGACTTTTGGGGATTTAGGGATTGGGGAGATTAAGGCCCCACCTTAATCTCCCGGTAACCTCACTCACACGACGAAACACAATACAAGCGTTGTTTCACGTCGGTTTTCTGTAAGGCCGTGGTATCACTCTGGTCGAGCCGGCCTTTCGTGCTGGAGCATGGTTCTCCCAATTTAATGAATACCTAGGTACAAATAATAACTCTTTTCAATGCAAAACGACATTCATCTAGTACAATGGATATTGTTTCATTTCTTTGTATAGTATGATTGTATTCTATTGGGCACGCGCGATAGTAAATAGTAGGTATATTAGGTTCCTCAGCTCATGTTTGACAATTGTAATGTTCACATCTCGTACGTTTAGGTGTGATTAAAAATCAAGGTAGTTTTTAGTCAGGCAGTCAGAATGTGTCCTTCATCTTCCCCAGGTGAACAGGATCTGCTTAAGTATCTGAAAGAAACAAAGGATGAAAGAAAGAAAGAATATCTCAAGTATCTCATGATCGTTTTCACTAATCACCCCTAGTCTATCACTTAACTAAATGTCACTTAGAGTGACGTACACTGGTTCTTTACTGTTAGTATTCACTAATAGGTTGGTGGATACAATAAGGACGTTAAGTGTCATTTATCTTAGGTTAGGGGATTCTTTAAATTTACATACTTTAAAAAAAATGAGGAATGAATGGAGTTTCTTCCTCGTTCTTCTCCATTCGAATCTACATTTTGGAATGAGCACCTAGCTCAACCTAGCTTCATTGACGGACTGACTGACAGACTATTATTTATTTTGTGTTTGTTGACGTTTCAACAGTACCAAATTATGGTCTAATTGAAATAAATGCTTTGACTTTGCCTTTGACTTCAGAATAGAATGGTATAAGAATCTGCTTAAGTATCTCATACTCGTGTATGAGATACTTAAGTATCTCATACTCGTGTATGAGATACTTAAGTAGATTCTTTCATCTAAATGGCAATATTCAATAATCTATACAAACTTTTATTTATTTCAAAAAATACGAATAAATAAAAATAACAGACAGTTGATGCGCTAGCTAAAAAGTTCGATTCCCAAGTTAGCGAAAAGATTAAATTGTCATCCTGAATTTCCAATCTCGGTTACAACAATTGACCACTTAGAATAATCGTTTCAGTTTACCTTTAGTCCACCAGTCCGTGTCAGGGGTATTGTTGTGGGTCCAGTGGGCAGTGTGGGCAAAGAACCTAAAATTGGATATTGGAAGAGGCATAGAGATCAGTCAGAAAAGTATCATTTCGTACCTACATTCAAAAGGGCGAGCAAAAAGAAGGGATGTTTTGTTGTTAGATTTCCACGAACTATTTACTTTACTATAGTGCTCTCAGTGTAGCAAAGTAAACAATTCGTGACAATCGAATCAAATTCGTGAAAGGTTTGTTTGACATGATAACAATCACAAGAGGGGACAGATAGGTCTATTCGTAGAACACCTTTCTTTAACAACAATAACAATAAGTTTTATAACAACGTCGTCCGGCTAATTAACACTGCGATGCAATGCACTTAGGGCATCACACATCAATGGAGTCTCCTGTAGAGCAGTTCTTGTTAGACGCCAATTATAAAATTGAATGACCTGCAGGTAAATCAGTCACATACTCCACTCAGATTACTCAGTTTCTTGCTTATATTTCGATATCCTGCCTTGTATGAAGTAACGATATCGCGTCTTGTGTTTTACCCGTACCAAGTAATTCATTATAGTTATAGCACTAGGACGGTACATCGATATGATGTGTATCAATAATTTAATGTATGTGTATCTCTATATGTTTCGTTAATTGTCATTCATCAACAAGCATTTCTAAGTCTTGTAAGAAAGTTATTAAGTAACGACACACAAAAGTCAGTGTTTAAGTTCTTCGGAGCTGACCACAACGTTTACTTTTGCCACGGCTAGATAGCGCGTTCGTGGCAGAAAAATTGTATAAATTGTATTGCCGTGCACTCATGTTCAATAAATATTATCATAACATTGAGACAAACAGTATAAACATTAGTAAGAGAAATCTGTGCGAATCACCACGTTCGGGGATTCACCACTGAAGCATTCAACTTTGCGATGTTTTTATTTAGTTCTCACGCAGTTTTGTAAACTCTTGTGGGTATCGGACTGACGATGAAGTTTAACGCCAGTCGCTTCACATCACACTTGGAATACACACCGCATTATGTTCCCAAGTCTCACGGTTCTACAGATTGCACTCGTAGCACTTACGACAATATCCTGTGAAGTGACGAGAGACAAGAGAGGGCGTCGGAAGAACGACGAACCAGACAAATCTTTGTGGAAGAAGGAGTACGAGGCGGAACTGACAGATGCTATGCTGGCTACCAGGAAGCGGGAGAACTACACCCGGGCAGCACAAGGAGGTCCCTCTAACGAGAACGATGTCGTCATTGAGAAACTGATGGAAAGCATAACTTCCAGTGAGAAATATTTAAAGAAAGTGGACAGCATAGAATTCAGATTGAATAGACTGGACATTGAAGTGCATGAGAAGACTAATGCTATACTCAAGCTATTGAATGAAATTTCAAAAGCTCTTCGAAGTGACAGTTGCGCTCAGAAAATGGAAACCGCCTTGGTTAGCTTGAAGAACGACGTTAACTCTATAAAATTCTACGTAGAGAAGACTCCAATGCAACGCACCAATTTGCCTACAGGTACTGTTATTTGTTTTTACACTGACAATGATTATTTGTCTCTATGTGAGCGAGGTTCATTTGTTAGGTAAATTACCTTTAGAGTTTAACTTGATCATTTAAAATCCATTAATTCGTGAAGTTGAAAATTTCTTTTACTTAAGTATACCCATTTTGTCGAAAATCTAACAATTTATGTATGTACTTAACTTTAAGTAATACAAAACGTTTATAATAATAATGTTTGTGATCTGTTGTATTAGTGTAGTCCATATTTATGTCCAGAAGTACATTTTTAGTGTTTCATATTTTGTTTCTTAGTTTAGTTAGAGACTAGTACTATTTATCACGACCTAAATATTTAGATTGCTATCAAAATACATTATCAATGACCGACCAGCCGAAATTTATTAATGCTAGATTTGATTAGATTTCTTGTTCTTGAACTATTTCATTTTACTCAGTGCACATTATGTACAGTAATTTTACTTTAACGAATCTTTTTTATTTTACAAAAATAACGAATATAGCTTTGAGATACAAGTCCTTGAAACCCATGGAAAATTCTGAAACCTTGTAGAGGAATAGATCTCCAATCGTGCAGTAAATTGCATTAATTTCCAAGGCAAGCTGTGATACGACAAATTGCTTCAATGGCTTTATCAATAGGAGAAATCAAAACAAATTATAGCAGTAGGATTCCTTACTGTATCTAGATTATCTGCCGTTGTTAGTCTACTGACTACCTAAGGCAATCCTAATGCAGTTGACCTAGGATTAAGTTCTTTTATAAAAATAATTTTATAAGTAAACAAATTATTCAATCGTCGATGGCATTCATTTATGGAAATAATCTTAATCCTGAGATCTCTTTACATTTATTGAAAATCTTTCAGAAGTAATTTCGATGAGACAATATAAATTTAAATCATAATTAGTGTGTGTAAAAGCTTTTACAGGAAAATAGGTTAAAAAGTAACTGTCAAGTACTCGTACGAACTGTTTAATGTCATTATTGGAAGAAAATGTGCATTTTACACTTTTGAATCATTCAATTTTGTCACCGCCTGTCGATAATATTTTTAGTAGAACATTATGTCAATACTTTGACCGATTTGCCATGGCAAAATGCTTTTAGACTATGTTGCCACGTTAGTCAAGCCTATTTCATAAGTACCTAAGTAGAGACAGGAATACAAGCAAAATGAGAGTACCAAAATATATTTATTTTAGTAGAACATAATTAATAGTGTCAGGTTGTTTACACCGATAAGTGACTTAAAGACACAATATGTACCACCATCTTATATGATAAGATTGATAAGTACGGATTGGTAATTTCATTCATATACAATGATAGTGAATTAGCGCGTGACCTTAATATGTGATTACTTTACCCTTTGCAACATGTACCTATTAAATTATATTTGATCTTCTTGGCTAGAGTACATTCATTATAATTTACTGCATTTAGACTAGGGCACAAAAGGTTCCTTGAAGACAGTAAAAATCTGATGGTAGGTAAGTATATCTACGCGATGCAATATAAGAATTATCCTACAATGCACATAAAATTATGACTTTATAGTTACCTGCTTATTAGGTAAACTTTTAATTTCACAGAATTGAAGCTGTACTCGAACTCAAGTAAGTATAAGAATTCTCAAATCGTTCAGGACGTTCAGATAAATTTGCCAGCTTAATGTAGTTGTGGATACATAAGATTATCTAAGAAAATTTCTGTTCACAGAAAATCTGATAGAATACGAAGCTATCTATGTATTTATTTTGTTTCAAGAATTATCTTGTTTCTTATTAATCTTATGTTTTGGGTTATAGACTGTACCAACCTATTATTTTCACGCAATTCGTTTGTACCACTACCTGAGGCCTTAGTACGAGTACGCGTTCGGCGCTGATTGGTTGGTTCATTGGAGCCGGCCAATCATAACGCTGAACGCGTACGTGTTTCGATTACTTTATACGTAAAACAAATTCGTACTAAGGCCTCGGTATTGCAAGTGTGAGCCAGGCTGTTAGCAAATGTGTGTTGCTCTATGTTTGGGAAATAATGGCCCATGTAGATATTTTTGTTGATTCTTTAGTAGATACAAAGATATTGCAAGAAATATCCCAGTATCCAGTCCCTTGCCTTTGTTTTATCGTAGCTTGTAAATCCTGTAACTAATCTGCCTTGCAATAATCTTACTCCAAAATGTTTTTCAAACTGCATTTATTGAAGTTTTCGACGTTTGAATATTATTTTGCCAATCACATGCTTTGAGGCTTACACACGTACCGTGTGCTGGAGTGTATATTAGTTAAATACGATTTATGCTGAGTAGGATGTAGCACAGTATGCTTTGTGTTGCAAGCTATACAACAAGGTGGAATTTGTTGGATGCTATATCTAGCATCCCACACAAGAAGCTCAATCAACATAAAACATCGATTCCTTCACCAGTTCCACCGTAGCTTGGGGCTTTAACTGCTCATCCTATTATTATTTTCAGTAGAAGGGGGCGAGTATCGCTTAGATTCCAACCTGGATTCCCGTCTCACGTTCTTGGAGACTCACGTGAAGACTATACAGGCTGGAGTGGAATCCATTGTGTCCACCATATCCGAGGTCAAAAACCGGCAGTATTCGAGAAACTTTCCCATCAAGTAAGTGCTTTTCCATAATATTTTAACAGCAGGATGACCATTTTGGCAGACAAAGACCTTCAAAATTAATTGGTGAACAATTTTTATCTTATTGAAAATAGTTTTCATTTCAAATGTAGATAGTATAAAAATGGCATACTGACTGACCTTGGTAAACTATACTTAATTGTCCAGATTGCGTTTTGAATTTTGTCACTCGCGAAGGTACTTCGAGTAATTCAAAGTATGAAAGCTATTTACTAACTTGTCGAATAAGTATATATAATGTTAGTATGTATATGATGCTAGCCTGAGAATGTGAGTAGAATTATTTAAAATTCATAAAATTTCCACCATAACTAGATATGAACCTAATAAGTATCTGCAAATAGAAAATATTTCTCTTACTATGAATGCTGCAATCAGATCACATTTCAATGAAGGACTTTTCCACCGTTCTACATCAACAATTTTAAACGAAATGCAATTATCTGCTGGTTCTATTCGAGTCCTGATTTCCCGTCGAGTTTAATAATTCCATCGACCTAGTTTGTCATCCATTTTCTACGCGTCAGTACTCGTCCTCGGTAATCGTCCTTCCAGGTATTTTCATTTGACGTCACTACTTCTCTGTTCCACTATACAGTTCGTATATTTATATTAAATTGTGTTTCTGAGATTCCTTCTTTCAATTTGCAGATGATTGGCTGGTTGTGTTATTTTTGTATCTAGTAGATTGTTTACGTGCATTGAAGTTGTGCAATTATTCTAATTAGGTATCTACTTATCTTAGTTCTCTACAATTGGACGTTGATTGAATATATTAGCATCTTACGTTAATATATCGTACCGAAAATCCCCAAAATTTGTTCATACAAAAGTAGTATCGCAATATTGGAAATCACAATCAGGTATATTAGAGTAAGTGGAGAGCAGTCACCAGTGACAGCTTGGGGATTGAGCAGCTTAGCAAAGTCTTATGCATGCTATACGAGCAAAATTTCGATAGGAACGACATTAAATTTCCTGTTTACTGAAAAGTATTGCTCTCTAATCACTCACCTCCCGTTTTATCTTTACAGTTTCATTAGTGAGGCTTTTACTATTCGCTTAATGAATTTACATTGTAGAAATATGATTCGTTTTGTGATCAAAACATTGATTGTGATTAGATTGTAAGTACTAACGTACGATTTTAAGCTTCTTAGCTGTGAAAATAGAATTCGTTTCATGTGAAAGGTTTCTTTTTCCGATTCGTGGATTTCTAAAGCGCTCACGATAACTGATTAATTTCCTTAGATGGAAGACTGACGGATGCCGTCGCTGTAACTGGCGAGCCTGCTAGTTAAGACGGAAATATCGTGAAGTAATTAGTTCGATACGGTTTTTCTTTTCATCATTGAGTTTAATGTCTTTTCTCATACTTGTAATTATGCCTCTTGTGTATGTCATTGCTGCATTCTGCGCAAACGGAGCTGATTAAACAGATTGAGTGTCTTCTTCAATGTCGTCAGGGTGAGTTTTGTAAGTGTTGAGCACGAAGTTTTGTATTTGACCCTAGGTCCTTGTTCCCAGTCCCAGTTTGACTAATTAGATACCTATTACTTTATTAAATACAAACACGCGGAAAAAACCTAGTAGGTACTCTGTCATATTTCCTAATTCTCCTTATATTGAACTTGGACAAGACCCCATGAGCCACTAGTTCTCATAAAATATAAGAATGCTTCCGTTTGTATGTTTGTGTTTTAGTCTACCTTATTTTTATTTCCGTGAGATATTTAACACGGGTGTCGAATACACATGAGATTAATATTTGTGCATCGTACTCACGACTTTAAGAGTACCACAATAAACGTAATTTTGCTTCATTCTTTGCATCATTGACTGGTCTGTGGGTATAGGTAGTCACAACTTTTGATTTATTTCGCTACGTGTCTGGGTTTTAACTATTGGCTCTCATTAGGTACCTACCTACCTCGACATGAGTGTTGAGAGTGAGTGACTTACGGTATGAGTGATAACAATCCTTTAGTGGAATTGGCGTAAAAGTAGCAACGAAGACTTTATCGTGTATGTATTTAAAAATAAAAAATCTGAACTACACATAATATCACCGATTTAAAATTTTTCTATAAGACATATTCAATTAAATAAGTAATCTGATCGCTTCCAACCAGACTATCTGGAAGCCATTGGGAAGGCCTATATTCAGCAGTCGTCTTGTAGCTGATGAGATGATGATTCAATGAATAGACGAGGGAATTATAATTGTAAACTTCAATGTTTATGATGTTCTTATGGGTTTTAAACCATAATGGGTGTTGCTACTGGTGTAGTGTAGTAAACTGTCGCGGAGAACCTAACGGGTTACCGGGGCTCCGGCTCGACGTGCAAGAGAAGGAACGGGGTGGTTTTTAGTCAGTAAAAGTCTGACACTCCCTCCCGCCTCACCCAGGCGGGAGCAGTCATTCGATGATATTCCCCACTTAAAAAAAGTGTAGTAAACTATTTGTATTTTTTCCTAGATCGGAGGTTGCAACATCGTCGGACACCATGTCTATCATCAACGAGTTCAGAAAGACGCTTCGTGAACAGAAAACCAAGAAATGCGAGTGCAAGTAAGTGTTTGGTAAACGTAACGTACGATCGTAACCGCCATACAAAACCGCGCGTGCCATTGTTTTGTCTAGCTAAGTGTAAATATTTGAATCTTTCTTATGGTGTTTTTATAATATGTAAGTAATTATAATGCTCTCGTCTCCGATCCTTAGTTTGAAGGTCGATGGATTTCGTGGGAATCTTGTACTTTCTTATGTATAACATTACTACTATATAACGCCTAGATAAAACTCTCTCGTCACCTAGTGATTGACTGATAGAAAACGCACAATTATTAGACAGAGAAAACTGAAACTTGGCTCCTCGCGAAGCGGAATTTTGGGAAATCCTCTCTCAATGCTGGAAGTATGGGGACGGGAAAAACGGGAATCATCTTAATTATTGCCTACGCTGATAGAAGCTAGTAATTAAATAAGCATCGACAATTTTTCGAATTGAAATGAAATGCGCTGTAAATTGATCGGTTTGACGAATGTTTTCAGTAATAAAAGATTAAATAATGTACATTGTAATGTAAACAACGTTGTTATGCACGTTGACTATTATAAACGATGTGTTGAATTGTGTTGTTTATAGGCGGTTACAGTTACAGCTGAAGACATCACGATATTGGCATTTGCCTTGAAGAGATAAGTATGTAACATTTAATTACATTGTGGATTAATCAGTTATCGTATTTGCAGGAGTGGGAGGGTGGATCGATCTGAGCGGTATCCGACAGACTGTCACGAGATCCAAGTGCAAGGGTTCAACGTTTCGGGTATCTACAAGATCAGGCCTGATGATATGGAGCCCTTCTACGTGCTGTGTGACCTCACGACCGCAGGAGGAGGCTGGACGGTGAGTGCCGATTTTTCTAATATATCTACACTTTGTCCAGATCTTCACAATACAATGAAACGAAGCTGTTGCTATTCAATAATAGATGGTGAAGTGTTTGATTTGAATGATAAAGATCTTTCTCTTTTGGAGCAATGTAGTGGATGCTAAATCTGTCTAGTGGTTGGTGTTCGTATCAGTGCACATTAAGTCTAAAAGTTCTCACATTAAAGTTGGTTTATCAGTATCTATCGGGTACGCCTTGCGCAGGGCAGTCCATGACAAATGTCAAGCATTTGCAGGTTGAGAGATTAATGGCAAAAATCTGGATAGGCTGAATGTTTTATACCTTCTATTCAACATCTTCAGGTATTCCAAAATCGTTTCGACGGTTCTCAAGACTTTTACAAAGGCTGGAATGATTATGAGTATGGTTTCGGTAATCTTGCTGGAGAGTTCTGGTTGGGATTGGAGAAGCTCAATTATCTGACGAATCAGAAGCTGTATGAATTGAGGATTGAAATGGAAACACAACACGACCAGGACGCGTACGCAGGGTACTCTGTGTTCACGGTGGGACCTGAACATGAAGGGTACAGAATCAGCACGCTCGGCACCTTTTATGGAACGGCAGGTCAGTATAATAACAAAACCAAACTCTCTGTGTAGTTGAAAATGATGAGCATGATGCACAATCTAACCTAGAGGCTATAATCTGGAAGTGAGACTCCGAGAATTTAAGTGAATGATACAATTTCATGTTCTTTAATTATTTTTTTTTGGATTTCAGGCGACTCTCTCTCTTACCACGCTGGTCAGAAGTTCTCAACTTACGACGTCGATAACGATGAGTGGAAGGATGGCGCCTGCGCAACGGAGCACGGTGGTGCGTGGTGGTATAAGGAATGCGATAAGAGGTATCTTATATTTGTGTTTATTGTAAGCTTGAGAGATAAATTTCTTCTTGAGAGATAAAAAAAGAAAAAATTCGAATAATTTTCTTGCACACTACAAGTAGGTACAGGTAATTCTCCCAAAATCGGAATGTTCTAACTTAAAATACCGACACTTTCGTACACTCCTGTATAACATCCCTCATAAAGACATCCTTTTAATGATGTATGGACTTTGGCAAAGCCAATAGTGATTAATTTAAGTGACTCCGAATATCGAAACTCTCGTCTGCATACAATATTTACCTAATGGGTCATATCGTGAAAAAGGAAAGATTTAGACTGACCCTGTTGCTCAACTTACAATGTGGAAACCAGAAAACAAGGTTTTTATTAGACCTTTAGTTCCCTTGAAGAATCCAAGCACATACTATAATGTAGAGTCTTTCGTACAATCCATGGGTATACCATGTAAAAGCATTCCTGTATAACATTACAGTAACCTCAACGGAAAATACTCGATGACTACAGAAGAAAACAGAGGGCAATCAATGTATTGGATTTCATTCAAAGGACCGAACTTCCCACTTTCGAAGACAAAGATGATGATCAGGCCGCTGCCTGCCAGCAAACCGATAGACTACATGGACACAAGCAGGGTAATGTAAACCTTAATATATTTGTTTACAAGTCATTTTAGTCCTTTAAATATAATTTACCTAAAGCTTTAGGCATTTTGACGCAACAACACATAGGTGTTGTTGACAATGGTGTGTGCACATATGTACTTGGGAAGACAAGTGTCTATACACTTCCCAAGTACACATGTGCACATTACCTGCTACATAGTTGGTAATTTTATAGAAAATAAAACACTATAAATCGTGTGATTGTATTGTGAAATACAAAAAGTGAATTTCTTTCAAGTCATTTACTAATAATATCAACATTATATTCCAAATGATCTCACTCTCAGATATAATGCACACATTATTACTGAGGCTCCTCATATTATAATCCTCTAAAATTCTACTTAAATAGTCTGTTATCCTGGGCCTGTGTTTTATTTACATAATTTTTTAAAACTATTTTCTTTTCACAAAGTTAACATCTAATCTAGTGATACCCACAATATTATCTCCTTATTGTTTTATTATACTTTGGAATTCCTTATTTTAATAATTTAAAAGTATTTTTATTATGCATGTGTATTATACGAATATATGTGTACATTTATTTATATATTTTTAATAGGGCCTTGGAATGAGTGGCGGATTAGTAGGTCACCAAAAGCGTGTGCTTGGCAGCTCCAGTCACCAGATGCCCTATATATCCAGAAAGGCTTGGGGTCTCTAAGTATATGCACATACAGCTGCTTTGGAAAAACACTGTGCTTGCTTCGCTTGGTTTTTTGCACATCTATATAAACCACTCACACACGGACTACAGCGTAAACGCACACTCGGGGGGAAATATTTAGCCCAAGAACGAACCGCTAATGTTATTTTCAGATAACTATAGAAGGTCCGCAACTGAGACCGGTGCCCGAAAAAATTAGAGTAATACCCATAAAGTCGGGACTACGAACGCAGAATGTAAAGGGAATGTACGGCGTAATCCCCAGCCAGAGTCAGTACAGATACGACGAGCCCTCAGCAGACGCTTTCTTCCCCAACTACGCGTGATCCGCACGGGGACTACTATTGTTATTGTAATGCACCGTATGCTAGCGTAGTGTTAGTGTAGTATATATTTGTGAGGACTTCGTAGCTTTGTTTGTACTTGCAGCCGTATTATTGCACTCTGTCTCCCAGTTCTCACACACAGACCCGACTCCTGGTTCAGTCGAGTGGGTTACGTTCAAGATCCGAGTCACCGAGACGTGTGACGTTGGGACGTAGTGCTGTGTCCTAGATACACTTGGTGTAGCAACATACTTAGATGTCCAAAATAGGCGTCATTAGCCATTTGAAATGCAAATTTTTACTTTTATGCTTAGTAGATATTTAATATTTATATATTTTCATAAAAATTGTTTGCTTTTTTGATGAATGGAGGTTTTAGTTCGTTGCAGTCTGTCCTGTATGAGGTCGGAATATTCATGTACAAAGGACATTTACGATGATACATTCAAAGTAGTAACTTTGTACAGAGTTCGATGGAAAACTAACTTAATTCTTTTGTTAGCAGGAATCAGATAACACTTGATCGTTGGTATTTGGGTGCAGTATGTTTAAGGTGGTTATATGTAAGCTTAGCTGTGTTTGTCCGTTTGTATATTGTACAGCTGTTTACCAATATTCTTGTACACGAAGTCGTCGAAGTTCACGCTATTATTTTACATTGAAATGGAACTAGGGTATTTTATAAACAGGTTTTATAGCGGTTTTAGTTATAATCATTACATGCCTGTCGCAAGTTCATCAGGAGACTAAAATTGGTAGTAACTTCAGTATATTAACAAACTGCTATATAAATCGAATAACTAGTTTTATTTTATATTGTTTTATCGAGATTTTATTGAACTTTATATTGTAAAGTATGCAATAAATAAAAAACATATAATATCAGTCTCATTTGCTTTATTTTCCTTAATGTACCATGAAATTAGCTACTGCACGGTATTGAGCAGTGTTCTGTACATTACAATTTCCATTTAGTTACTTACGAATATCGTGTAGAATCATGTAGTCACATCATCAATACCAACAACATTGAAAGGTAATAAGTTTTTATTATATTAAAACGTTTATACATCTACTAAAATCTAATACAGCATATTCTAAGAACCGTAAGAGTATTCGTAAACATGACTACACAAATGTACATATTACATCATGGCAGTGCTCAAGCCGACTGTTCGTTATACATATACACTTACATAGTAACAAGGACATATATAAACAAAGACATATTACGATAGATGTACAACACGTGCCTACCATCACTACACAAATCTAATAATGTAAACAAACATCGAGTCACGGTGTATTCTTGGTGTAAATAATTATTTCAATGACATAACATTAACTAATATGATATTATAATACAACGTAGCCACTAAATTATCAATCGACATTAAAATTAATAAAAGTATAATGTACGCCAACACATGGCGACAAACATGTAAAATAAGAAAAAATAATGTATCTCGTTAAAATATGATTTAAAATAATTGTGAAAATATCTACTAGACCAGTGCCTAGATCACTACATATATAGTATACTAATCGTAAATCCCAGTTTAAAATCACTAAACTAAGTATCATAATATATTATGGTGTATATTTTACTGACCTGAATTTGGTTAGTGCCTACCTAGAATTCCAATATGTACACATGAAGAAACGACACCGATTTGATAATGTAATACCAGCAAAATTAGAAATCCAACAAGCTAAATAATATTTACATACATTTTGCGTGACAAAATGAAACGTGTTACGCGATAAACGATTATAATAGTTCTAAAATTTAAAAGTCACCTATTTAGGTAGGTGATTGTAATAATAATTATAATACAATATTAATTAAAGTTGCTAAAAATCGCTGTCTCGACTCATATAATATATTATAATATAAAGTACCTATCTACTAACAATAATGAATCCTAAACAAATCGTGTAATAATAAAGCGACATAAATACAACTAAGTAGCACCACGGGTGTAAAAAGCTGTTTGCTCGACAGTAGTGTTCCCACAGACATTAAATTCGCGAAAATAGACGTACACAGACTAAAGAAAATCGTTGCAACGTACTCTAGTATCGTATCGAACTCAATCGAAAAGCGAAATATTTTTTTTTTTTGTTATTACAACGACTAAGTTTTAATGTTAATAATTCAGAAATATTTAGATATTACTTAGACTTAATATTACGTTAACATTATTTACTATAAACCGTGAACTAGCCTACAAGTGTACGTTGTATCAGCGTCGCCACAGTTATTACATTAGATATCAACATTTCTCCACATCGCTAAGGCAGGCGATCGAGGTGTAGTCGTATACTATGTACTAGAACTATCATCCGATAACTTGATCGATGATAAAAGCCTGCTGTGCCCTTATTATACTTTTTGGTGTCAATTAAACGTTACTATCAAGTCATGCAAATAAGCTTCGATCGAGATAAAGTATCGATCGCCTGCCGAAGACCACTAATTAGCTAGGATATAAAGTGTATACATACATCTAACTCCCCTAACATGTTGTTCGGAAGGCCGAATGCTGTAAAACAACTTTTCTGTTCACACATCAGCCGATTAATTTATACCCATTTACAATTCAATGTCAAATTGTTCAAATAATAAATGTGTAGAAAAGCAACTTTAAAAAACTTTCAATAGGTAGTTAACGGCGAAGGCATCGAACAAATGGCCACAAGAGTGAAGTGTTCGACGTCTACCCGTTGGACTATTTACGAGAGAATTTACTTTAAATCATTAGATACTTACTTTTAACTTTGATTTATAAGTAAATTAAAACGCAGATCACGTTAATAGTAACACATATCAAACAAAATGAAATTACTTTCAAAGTTACAAAAATGGGGAATATAAGCGAGATAGAGCGAAAGAGAGACGAAACCAATGTAAACTAAGTACAGGTTTAAATAAGTAACTTAATACTAAATAGGCGGAACTTTCGACATTTGTCCTAAGTGCACCATAACATTATCCGAATTTGTGTTGAAACGCGTTAATGTTTCTGGCCAATTAACGTAATGTTATAATGGGCGACGGGTATAAGTTGACAGATATAAATACTACCGTGGGATACGGCGTGTGACAGGACGAGAATTTAGATGTTGAACAACGGTTGGCTTGTTTTATAATATATTTATTACGTATAATATAGACATTTAAAATCAATCTTGAATTCTCATATCTAATAGCGTAATATAATTGACAGCTCTATGGTTAAATGACGTCTACTGACTATGGACGGGGGCAAAGTAAACGGAGTCTACAAATAGAAACTTGCAACAATGAACACAAACATTCGACAGTTAGTCTCAGCATGAAGTAGAAGTTAGGTAAATCGTTTCATGCCGAGGCTAGCTTTACCGAAGAGTGACCCAAACACGGCGAAACGTTTCCTACTATAACACATTTAATATCGGTACATCCTTATGAGACCTACACGCTTGTAACAGTATTATCGATAAAAACTTGAAAACACACTTAGATAGCATTATGATTATTTCAGCTTAGGAAAAAGGACAAAAATGTCGTGACGACTGTATTATTATAAATGGCTAATGACTTGAAAAATGTGAAATGATATTATCGACACATAAATAATCTACTAAAACACTGCAAAGACATCAAGTTATACTGTTACATCATTTCCTAGGATAAAATAGTGATGACATATTCCACATACATACACTGTATCGATACATAATCTATTTAAAAAGTCTGATATATTGAAAACCTTACATCTAAGTGTTCATTTAAACTGTCAAATACCAAGCGGTCACCGGTGATCGCAACCTATTGTTCTATAATTGTGTCTGCAAAACCGGTACTCGACGAGTTAATACAGGAATATTCAACATTTCCATTCGAAAAGTTCCATAATACGCAACAAGTTAGCATTGTTTTTAAAAACAACGAGTTATTTCTACATGGAGGTTAAATGGACAAAATGCAAAAAGATTTGTTACTGTGTGATTTTATATCTAACTCTATGATGTGGGTATTAAAAGGAATACTCTTTAATTAATTTAAAAACACGCGACATATTATTATTTCAGCTTATGGCTATATGAATAAACAACAGGATGTAACACGACAAATTTTCTAAGGTGTTGGTTTAATGTAACGACGTCACTATCAAGCTAATATAGAACTAACAACCATAATAACAAGCTCTACAATTGTCTACAGTGGTTAATGATCATTCATACGCGATCGAAGTTTTAATGCAATTCTTTGCATGTGTTCTCCGGCTTCACTTGTATCTGCCTTACAAGTTGTTCGCGAAGAACACGGACAGCAAATCTGAAAATAAAAAGAATAATAAATGAGTACAATGATCAAAATCTCTTAATATGCTATAAGCAAGTGTATTGTTATTAAAATAATATAGTCAACATTATTATATTAATTTTACTATTAAATTCAGTTTAATGAGATTTGCGCCTGAGTTTACATTGCAACTACAATCGCTAATGTCAAGGTCTTTTGGTCCAAGACTATTTGCTAATGTCAATCTATATTGGTCTATAATGTATGGTTAGTGACTGTACTAACGTGCTGTGATTGGGCTAACGTTAATGAACTCCCTCTAGTGGTTATTAGAACCTTATTAGGTTAGTAAGTTAAAATTTACCTCAGTCATGATCATGAGAGGATTGCTCGCTTTCCGGGCGGAGTGAGTCGATGCAAGCTACAATCTTGAGGGCCGGGCCCAGCTTCATGGATAGAGCCATCACAAGGTGCTCTGGTCTAATCAGGAGTAAAGCTTCGCCATCCACCTCTTGCATGAGGAACTCGTCAGCGTAGCCAGCGCAACCCGGGATATTGCGGATGAAATCGCACACCTCTGATACCTGTGGAACATTGTATGATGTTAAAAACTAGTTGATTTTAAATTTGTATGAATAAAACTTTTGATGCATCCTAACACAAAATTGATTTATTTATTTTTCTAATATTTTACTTTTTAACATATTTTGGACTAAGCTGACAGTTGAAAGTTAATGGAACAATATACGGAACTTGTAGGTTCTCTTCATCTTCTATCATACCTACATGGGAAAAAAATTAAACTAAGACTTGCTCTTTGGATAAGCCATTGCATGGGAATTGCAATTAAATCACTGAGACCTTAGGTGTTAGGATACCATGACGAAATTGGAACAAATCTAATGATGTATACATACCGTCCATTTATTAGCATTAGGTATCTTGGGTGCTTGAGTGGTGTCCGAACTGGCACTGGCGGTCTCAGCCGTGCTACTGGCTGCAGCCTCTTCATGTCTAGTCTTCGTGTTGGAGTGAGCCGGAGCGGAGCTATGGGAAGCAGTCTCGTTGCTCGAGCTGATACGAGCAACGCTCGACGCATGGTGTTCCCCTATGTGCTTCTTGCCTATAAACATATTCATTCATGTCATAAAACGACGCCTTTTGGTTTGCTAAAGGAAAATGTGAAAAGGAAAATGAACTTCTTGTTTTCTTGTTAATTAAATGTAACAGGAGACGATGGTTTGACAAAAACATAGCATTTTATATCCTGACGAGAATAAACATGTTAAAAGTGATACCCTTTTTAAACTGTCAAACACCAAGCGGTCACCGGTGACCGCGTTCTATTGTTCTATAATTGTGTCTACAAAACCGGTACTCGACGAGTTAAATAACTTATGTTAAAGTTCCGCTTCGATACAATGGAAGGCATTCTATAGTCCCGAAATCAATTCAGAATATTCGAAAGTCGAAAAACTCAAGCTTTGTGACACAAATCTTCAGCACCAATGTGACTGCTTCGGAACGATATACACCACATACCACCAGCCTCATAGAATCAACACTTGTGTTGTGTTTCACCATGTGAGTGAGGTTACTGGAGACCCAAATCCCCTTCACTTAAGCCAGCAACGCATTAGTATTTCCTTGGTGTTGCCAGTGTCCATGGGTGGCGTCGATTGCTTACTATCAGGTGATCCGTCTTTTAGTTTGCCGGCCTTATTCCATAAAAACATCGATCATATATTGCTCTCGTCAAAAACCCACCAGTCTTCGATACGACTGGTCTAAACAGCAGCCAACAAAGAACTTATATCTACATTAATCTAAATTAGTAACTAATCTAAATTAATAGAGTGTTAGAAAGGAATACTAACGTAACTTACGGGGCGGACCTTCGTCCGTCGGCAATTTGTTTTCCTTGTCCTGTTCCTTATCAACCCAGTCGCGCAGTGGTCGGTTAACCTGCACCAAATTGCTCTACTTATCAATCATCCACCGAGCTCACTCGCCGACACAGTTATTTAACAACAGTACTATAAACCAAAGACATTTAAGAGATAGTTTGAAGACAGAATAGAAAACATCATTTAGATGGGTGTTATGTATCATTGTACAGTGGCATTAAGTACCGTAATGTGCACCTCTGCCTAATACTAGGATTTTCTCCTGTGCGTTAATTCACATACACATCACATTCAGTCCCAGAACAATAATTTATGCCTTTATTGGAATGACACTGACATGATTTTTATATCAAAATTTACTTTAGCATATTTTCTCTTCTCCCGGCAGACTATCGCTTATGTAATTTCGGTCCATAGCACAGAAGTGAAACAAGTGTAAAACATTTAGAGTAATAAAAACCATTGAAGACATTAAAACATAGAAAACGACATAGATGGGCGACAGTCATAACACTAAATAGACGTGCATAAATAATATTAAACTTATACTACACATAGCTTATTTAAAAATATATATGCAGTATTACAAATTGTATTAATTAGTATTATAGAATATTATGACTTATATGTATGACTTATGAATGAATGGTTTATGTATGTGGTGGCTAGATGTGATTGCACACAGATCATGCGCATTGGCAACCTCTTGAGATTTCCTTCAGATCTTAAATTACTCACGACATCAATGAACATAATGAAATAGAATATACCTTATAGTAAAAGTCCTGATGCCGTAGAATGTAAACAGACAATGCACCAATTTTAGTTACATTCTTACGCAACGATGCGCGTTGTTTTAGAATTGTTATTTAATCATGCCAATCGAAATATTCCAATTTAATGTCGGATGAATTTCGAAACTCTAATGGAATCTATGAGACAATGGTACTGTACGAATTTCAATGAATTTGGAATGGAATAATTTATCAAAGATGAGTCTTGTTTAAAAATTTAGTTCGCGGAGCCTTATCTGTAAGACAAGAAACATGAGACTTACAGCGAACGGTTCTCCGGCCTCCTGGATGACGTATCCTTCGATGACATGTGTCAAAATGTTCGGTTTCACCATAGCTTTTGGCAGGCCTTTGTCTGTAACGAAATAAAATCATAATTAAATATTACGCGGGAAGTCAGTTGGATGTACAGTCGTAAACATTAAATATACTTCAATGTTGCATAGATTTATAAACTGGCCACTAAGTGCCATTATCACAAACTAAATCGAACTTATCAGCAGTGAATAAGGTCTACTAGTTCGGTTCTTATTACGCATTTTAGTTTTTTGAATTTGTATCTCTTCCCATACATTGAAAGTGTAAAATGGATGGTGTAATGTAATATTTTTGAAAAAGAGTTCATACAAAACTGACCGTGTGAAGCCTGCTGGCTCATGTGACGTGGAGTACACTGCGTACTCTTGAACAAAGCCGAGCTGGTCCCGCCTGAGGTGACCGGAGCCGTGATAGCGGCGGTCATCGTTGAAGACGACGACGTCGAAGAAGCTACTGTAGTCACCACCTAGAAGATAATTGAGATAAGGTATTTTGTCGGATTTCCAAGTTTAATGCTGAATAGGTATGGGGTCCATTTTTGTACTAGTTCATCTTTTGGGTATATTTAGGGAACATGGTGTTATGTGTTTTCAGTACGGAATTTTTTCTCTTTTCTCCAGCCAGAAGAAATGATAATGTATGACGGCTTAATCCCCAATGGTTATACGACAGTAATATTGGTGTAGTGCAGTTTTCAATTTTGCCATTGCAAACGCGCCATCTGTTAGTTTAAACTCGAACTATGAGGAAGTCGCTACAATCTATTTTACGTGCAAAACAAAGTAAATCGTAAGTTGTATGACGTATGTACCTGAGGTGCTACAGGAGTAGTTTGCTGAGCGCTGCTGGGTACCGGTGCAGAGCTGGACGCTACTGAGGTAGAAGCAGACGACGGTTCAGCTGTGGTGCTGTGGCTCTCAGCCTTCGTTGGTGTAGACTTATTTGTAGGCGTAGTCTCCATTGGGGTTACCGCACCTGTATTGTTAAGAATAAATAACAATTTTTAATAATTGTAATCATTGTCAGTTTGTTATTACATATTGCATAACGTCCGAATACCGAGGCTACTCAATTTTATTAATCCCTGACATTTTACATAAAAATTGTAGTGACAGTATATTATATATTGTTTATAATGTGCTTTAAAAACATAATAACAAGTTACTCACCAATAGTAGCGGTGCTGGTGGATACAGAAGCGTCAGCAGTGGTAGTGACCGAGGAGCTAAAAGTGGTGGACGTAGCATCAGACGTCTCAGCAACAACTTGTTGAGTCGGCTGGATCTGCAATACGGGCGCCTGTACGCGACGACGCTACATTTAATTGCACATAGTACATACATACAGAACAATATAATCATTTTATAATATCTCTAAACGTGTCTTGTATTACCGGAGTGGACGATATCTGTGGTTTCTCATCCTCGGTCTTGACGTGGGTGACTAGAGTCGCCGGAGTCTGTAGTGGGAGCACGGATCCCGGCACTGGGGCTGCGATCAGTCCCACCGTGCCTTGAGCCGCCTGGAGTGTTAGCTGTTGAACAATCACATTTCTTGAGACTTCAATTTACCATTTTCTTATACAGACGCGAACAAATCAAAGTAAATTCAAATGGATGGTTTTTTCAATAAAGTTAATCGATATAATTTGTTTGATGTGTAGGCGTCTAAACAATGAAAATATCTTTCAAATAACAATAGGTTAGAATATAGTAACTGATCATACAGCATCTGTTAGCAACAATTTTCATTTAAAAATTTAAACAGTTGCATAAAGTAGATAAGCAATACTTACAATATTTATGTTACTAAATAGGTCTCATGCTTATATTTTGTACAGTCCAAAGATAGACGTTTCACTAGAAACATGCCTTATGATTAATGGAACTTCAAAATTAATATCTAACTCTTAATGGTCTGGGGAGGAACATGCAATATATAGATAAATTATTAATAATTCTTTCATTATATTTCATTCGTTTTGAAAATGGGATGTTAACAAAGATTTGTTTGTAACAATTATCGAAGTGTCTCAAATAAGTTTGATAAAACCTTTTTTTAAATAGGCCGCAAAACAAGTTTATGTTATTTAAATACTAATGTCTCACAACACAACGAAACCTTTCGCTGCAAGCTCGCTTTCTTTGAGAACTATACGCGTTTGAAATACTTCCAAATCTTATTGGAGGCCTTTATATGTTTTATCTTTAAGAAATAACCTTTGGACACACTATCTCTATTCAATATGACCGCCATTCAATGTCCATGCACAAGAACCATGCGTCAAAAGCAACATTTGTTTAGAATTCTACTGAAATAATTGATTATTTAACGCAAATATCACAAGACGGATGTATAACTAAATACACGATACAATAAAAAATAAACAATGGTGAGAAATAAACAAAAGGGCGTATTGCTTGTATAATAATCTCTTAATAACCTCAAAAGACAACTTTGTTCATAAACTAAACAATGCGAAGCTGCAGTTTCGAAGGACATGCCATTGATTATGGCAAACGCATTCAAATTTACAAGAAACTATAGAATAGTAACAGATGAAATAACTGCATTAGAGAGTCAAATATCAATCAGCATGAGCCAATAACAACAAATCAAGATGATTTAAACATAAGATAATATTGTCATATAATCTGTAAATCCAGGACTAAAGTATAGAACATGAATGTAGATGAATAAATAAAAAATACGATGAAGAAGTTGAAATTGATAACATTGCGAGGTTGGTAGGGCTACCTCATGGTGCAATAACGCCGGGGAGACTTGGACCAGGGGCGCGGTCAGCAGTGACGCGCCATCGATCGCGATCCCCGGCTGCCAACGTTTTACCACCCAAATATACATATTACATATATATCATACATATTATACATAAGTACACTACATTACCAGGTTATTAAAAATATTATTGGGATGTTTCCAGCAAGTCAAATATAATATTTTTGCGAAATGTCCATAATAAGTTGTTAATAAACATTTTTTACGAGATTTTTGGAATCATCTTGAATGAATGAAAAAATGAAAAAAAAAACATTGGTTTGTACCAGGAACAATGAATGCGTGATGGAGCATAAAAAAAAACGAAGAAAAAAATTCATTTTTATTCATAGATATTCAATCTATTAAAAAAAATTAAACTAAATATGCAATCAAATTAAATAATGAAGGAATGTTGATTTAAAAGTATTTGAAAGTAAGATTAGGGGCAATCAGTTATTTTTGACTGAGGAAACATCACAATTTTCGATTGTATTAATAATTTATTACATAGATATAATATACATTAGTATGGGAGGGTATACACTAAAAGGTTGTTAAACATATTATAATACATCGCATTATAACTTGGTCTATGTGATGCATGCTTCTCAATAACCGCTAAATTTTCGAGCTATGTCAATATATAGCTTTACAGTGGTTAATATCACCGGTTTATTCGTAAGTTAATAGAAATTAATTGGTTAGTGTTCTATATTATATTTATTAAGAGGTGAGATACTTGGAATTACGGTTTAGTCAAGATTTTTAACACTATCATGTAGCGTCAAACGATAACCAAAAAATTTACATGTTTATATTAAATTGTTGACATGTACAAGTGTGCAAGAAAATAAGTTTAAGTATTCATTTTAATAATAACTATTATTTGATTTGTTATCTTATTCCAAGATTCCTATTTATTGATACATTTTGTAGCATACAAAAGAAGCAGAAGGATATTTCGACATCTGAATGGAATGAAGAAAATATTCCTAGCAGTTAAATGTAGTCATTTGTTAACATTCTGAACATATACAGACACTGTTAACAAATAATTGGCGTTTCGTATTTTACAATTACTATCACTACATTGATCGATCATAGTCAATTGATTTATTGATCTTTCAACTCAGTGTACTGCCGATCTTGTTGATCAATTAATTACATACATGTAATTCCTTTTGTTTGATGTTTTCTCATTTATAATCTTAGTCAATAAGAGTGCATCATCAACATATGTCTGTTTGTTTATTATCCTTAGACATTTTATCTGAACAACCAACACTTGGGAGTATAGACAATAGGCTAACTCGAAAGAACAAAACCGCAGCTAAAACACCTTTATCTAAACGTTTTAGAAACTGCTCTACTACCAAAAGGTTAGGTACTGCATAAAAAATTCTCGAAAACTGCTCCTTTTGGTGAATAACTGTTTATGAAATATGTCACAATGGCTTTTACTCACCGTCTGCATAGACGCCGAGTGATTTAAAGCCGCTTGTTGTTGAACGGTCATGCCAACGGATGTCTGGACCAACCCACCCCCTACCAGGGTCTATAAACATATAACAATAATTTTATTACTACAATTGTTCATAGTGAATAATCCTTCATAACAAATATGTTTAGTATTACATGTGGACTATGAAATAGGTAATCTACTTGCAGTTTCAAATGAAATTACTAACAAAATGTTTTAAAATAACCTCTTAGAAGGTACTAGACAGACAGACTGCAATTCTGCTGGGCTTTAAAGTTTAATTGTAGTTAGTACGATTGTAATAAAATTATACAACAATAATGCAATTCGACTGTAGGCATTAGTGCATGTATAATGTAGTCTGCTGCAGTTCAATATAAGCTTGTAAAAATAATATGTAGTAGCCTAATTATACTGTCCAGAGGTGGCTTGTAAGAAAACAAACCAATAGTACCTGTGGCTGCTGCAAAGCTTGTACGCTTTGCGGCTGGGACGTGCTCAGCTGACTGACCAGAGTCCCAGGTTGGCCCATGCCACTTAACTGCAACAGAATACAAAGTCAAAACATGTTCCGATTTAAAAAAACTAATTAAAAGCCACCATCAAACCAGAACTCCATGACGTTTATGAAATATTTGTGCCAATTCTGTAGCTACGTTACGTACGTAAGTACATTTTTAAGGATTCAACGTCATGAAAAACTCGTGCAAAGCGACACAACACGTATTAGCAGTAGTTATTACCATAACAATACTCACAGGGTGAATTGGTTGCACCATAGATATGGTCTGTGGTATACCTGTCATAGGGAGCGACTGGGCGACAGATCCTACAGTACCTTGTTGCATACCCAGCGACATTCCTGCGAAACCACTAGCATATTAACACAAGAACTTTTTTAATTACAAAAGACAAAGAGACAAAAAAATCAATAAAAGTCGCTACACAGATTGGCATGCAACGAGCAATTATGCGCGTCAACGCAAGCCAGGAAAGGAGAGACAGTTGAAAAATAGTTTGTAATATTTTGTATACCACATTAGATGTTACATGGCTTTGCTTCGCGCAGTTGTATAACCTGTAACTCCAATCGAACTAACAGTATCTTATGAATGAACACTCACTAGTGAGAGCTTACATAGTCCATCCACAGTACAGTCTGACCTACCGAGTACAGTAAGAACCCATTCGTTTACCTTGCTGCTGATAATGCACCATCTGCTGAGTTTGTTGCTGTTGGTGCAATAACTGCTGCTGCTGTTGCTGTTGTTGCTGTAGACAAAGACAAGCGGGAGGTTATATACTTATTTCTTTTATTTAACTACACTAATGACTTATTCACTACATTTTACACATTCCATTTTTTAATGGAATGCTGCTCATGAATATGAGCCTCTAACATGGCTTGAAACTGGTCGAGTTCCTCGAAAAGTTACGTGGGTAAATTAAAAACATAATGTCTCACGGACGTTTTAATATAAATCCATTTTTTTTTTTGTTTGAATTTGCTGTGAATGTCACTAGTTTTATTAGCAGTATTGTCATAGACGTACGTAGCAGAATAATTATTAATATAATTTTATAGGCACCTGTAAAGCTTGTTGCTGCAGAAGCGCCTGTTGCTGTATGTTTTTAGCTTTATCAACACTTGTAATCTGAGTCATCTGGCCCGTATTCATCAGAAGTAACCTGCAAAAAACGCCTCGAACGATTAGTGCGTGTCCAACGAGTGAGAATTAAATATTCAATGTATATCATCATCACCTTACAGATGATGTCCTTTTTATAGTACCGGGTTCAATTACTCGATGCCTGATAGCATGTATGAAATAAGGCATAAAGTCGAGGGTCTTGAGAATGTTAATAAATGGGTGTATGTATAAGCGCTCATGCTAGGTAAAACATCGCTCGACACTTAACATATAGCGTTTATTAACACAGGTTTCTTTGTGAAAACTATTTATATTATTATAGAGAGATTAACAAGATGCGGGTGCAAAATATTTTATAAGCTAGATCAAAGTACTTTGCAATTTTGATATTTATCGTAATGCATCTTGTTGCTCTTTAAAGATTGCAGCTAGGAAGATAGTCTATGATAATGTAACATGTTTGATACTCTTTCACTAACTCATAAAATATTTATACCCAGGCACTTCTGTTTTTCAATAAATGCATTCATTACGGGAGTATTCTACTTTATTTGGGACAGATAAATGTTTAATTTAAGGTTTTAATTTCAAGATACTAACAAAATTTTACTTGGACTTTATAAGTTTATATTTAAGAGAGAAGATTAATAGGGATGATGACAACTAGTCAGGTACTGTCAACGAAATGCCAATCATGTTTCTAGTCCGAGGGTACATTGTAGCGACGTCCTACTTGGTTGTCGTCTAGGACCCTATTAATTCATTTGCAAAAAAGTGTCCGAATTAAAACAAATTTTGATGTTGACCGTGGGATCTTCCCTATTATCTACATTGTAAGTTTACAAAAAACTCTGCGTTAATAAATTAAAATATCAATGTATGCTTAGAATGAATGATTAAACATTGTGAATGATAGGGCCCTCAAGTTTGTAACTGAACCAGCGACCAGTGACCGAGTCAGTATCACTGGGTTGGAGGGTGTAGTAGTGCGGTGGGTTCTGGCTTGGTCATTGGTATGGTTAGTTATAATTAGACACAAAAGCAGGGGGGGCGAGTGTGGGGGCTTGATCAGCTACTAGTCAAATTATTATGGGAACTCACTGCTGTTTCGGCTGCTGGATCTGATGCTGAAGTTTGTTAGTTTGGTTTGCTGCATCTTGTTTGGCGGTTGGGGCTGGTGAGCGTACGCCAGGTTTACCGCGTTGCTTTGCCTAGTACAAGAATAGGATGAGTTGCGAATTGCATAATTTCATATTACGCAACACTAGGTTACGTGCATAATTATGTAGTTACAAAAAATAAATTAAAAGTCAACGGACCTGATTTTGAGGCTGGTTGGGATTGGTTTGTGTGGACACGGAGGAGCCAGCTCCAGGCCTGATGCCGCTGGAAGGCAGGATGTTGGAGAGCGGCCGTGGAGCCTTCGCCAACCCATCCGAAGAGGCGCGGGGCTTCGACGTCGTCGAAGTAGCACATGCTACACTCACGCCTGGAATTAGTGATCGCATTATAAATTACTCAAGTGCAAAAAGCAAATGGTCTTTACATTTTGACACTACTAAGAAGGCAGTATAAAATTACGCGAGCGTCACAAACACATACACAGCAATCGCTTAAACGAGTCAGCATTCGCATTATTAAAGTAAATACTTACAATACGAAAATTGTCAGTTAATTGTATAAATAAATAGATATAATACTAACTGGTATGCTGAACGTTGTTTTGTGGAGAATGCTGAATAAACATTGAGGGTGGTGCGTCGGGTTGGGTTCCTCGGATGAAGATGGGGTTAGGGGCGAGCAACCCTCCGGCCGGCAACGTCCCTGCCTGGAGACCACCTGCCCACACCTGGGGCAACGCGCCAGATATCTGCCATGGAGCAAACTGCATCGTCTGACCCCCTGTCTGTAGAACAGACGACTTTGTTAACACTATAATCTATAAACTACATCAAATATAGTAAGTACAACTTATTACTAAAATAAATAGAGATAATAAAGAAACGTCTATGAATTAGTCGCAAATTGTATTAGATAATTAGACATTGACTTGATATTGTTGAATAACTTTTAGCATTGTTAATGAATAATTATAATATTGCTTCTAATTACAAAACGTTCTTTACCTAGCTCCCATACCTCTATGAGTAAATTTAAAGTATTTAAAATCAGATTTAAGTTGTTTTTTCCATGAATTTGAACTTAAAAGTTTTTATGAAAACCAGTGCCGCTTAATGAAACTTCTCATATCAAGATGAATAGTTTTTTTATGACATAGATGGCAATGGGGAAACGGATCACCGATGGTAAGCGATCAGCGCCGCCCACAAACACCCGCAACAACAGAGGAGTCACAGGTGAGATTAAATAAAATACTTATAATATTGGGATACAGGAGGAAGAGAGATATGATATTTCATATTAACACAGAAGGTTTATTCTTGAAGCCCATTCAGATGAATCGACATTGATATTGTGAAATTTCGTACTCTTGAGTTGCAACAGTACCGCCCATTGTATTCGTATTGCGTGGTTACTGAATGAACTTAATGGTATTGAATTTGGCTTTATATTCCGTACTCTGGTTGCGTACTTTATGATTGGGGTTGTATAGTGTTGCCGTTGTATAATAATTGAGGTTTTATTGGATTGAAATTAAATTGACATTGAGATTAGTTTCAAGAATAAGCGCCCAGTTCGGTACTCAATAGCTTCGTGAAACACTTTTTTGTTAAACAAAAAACGAGGACGACAAGATGGGAAAGAAAACATACCATAAATATTGTTTGTCGTATTACAAACATATTTTTTTACTACTATACGTAGTCTATTGACTGCCTCATTGCCTGAGTGGTCGCAAATGCGACTGCCGGGCAAGGGGTCTCGGGTTCGATTCCCGGGTCGGGCAAAGTATTACTGGGTTTGTAAAAACCTCAGTAGTAGCACGGAGTCTGGAAACGTGCCCTGTATATGGCAATAGGCTCACCCCATATTACATGGGATTCATAACATAAATAGTGAAGAGTACAGTGGCATTAAGTGCCGTAATGTGCACCTCTGCCTACCCTTCGGGGATAAAAGGCGTGATGTTATGTTATGTAGTCTATCTAGACTGGAGTTTTAGGTTTATCAAGGTAATTTAAAAACATCTAGACAAATCGCATTTAAGTTACAAAAGGGGAGATTGAGTTTGATTAAAATTGATTAAATGTGACGTCAGGTGTTACTTCGACTCAACCATTCATTGTCATACTCCGATTGTATGTAATAACAAGAACCAATCGTTTCGAGAAGTAATTTAAAAATTCCGTTCATCGATAGAATAACAAATTGAAGAGATTTTGCGAGTTGTCAGCATTGTGAAATTTAAAAAGCATGTGTCCAATCAAAATTTTTCAATAACTAACAAAATGGAAATTAACTTAGTCATCACTTCTATCCCTTAGTCACGAAATCACGCGTGAACGGCTGGACCGATTTCAGTATTTGTTTTTTTGTTGTGATTTACTATTGTTCACTATTATGATTGAAAGCTAGAAGACCGATTAAAATAGATGGGAATCGTTATTAGAATCCTAAGCTTGCGTCTGGTTGTCCCTTGAGGCTTTGGGACTGAAATTGGTAGGTGGGGTCCATCGATCTGCATTTGTTTTCGTTTTACAAAATAATAACTTCCAGTAAACTATTACATTTAATCTCTCTAGTGTCTATGCTCTTACTTTTGTATTTCACATATCTTTGTATCATTGCAGTTGCCAGTATGCACAATGTTTAAGCCTTTGACTACCGACAGAAAACTGCTGAAGGCAAATCCTCCGCTAACGTAGGTCACCGGTGACCTACGCCGCGGTTAACGTGTTAAGGAAGTTCAAAATGTGTCTGGGTTGTGCCTGGGTTATAAAAATATCATACTGTCGGTAACACAGATAATTACATATTATTATAAGTTTTACCAAAAATGTAAAAAAAAAGAATTTGCAAGAGCAGGTTACAGCATCAATAACATTTTAAAATTTTAGCCATGCTTCTGCACGAATGGGTCGGCTCGCCCAAAGTGATGCTACGGCCTCACAGAAAACCGACGTGAAACAACGCTTGCGTTGTGTTTATTGCCTCGTTGGTCGAGTAGTCACAAGTGCGAATGCCGGGCAAGAGGTCTCGGGTTCGATTCCCGGGCCGGGCTAAGTATTACTGGGTTTTTAAAAAATTCTCAGTAGTAGCACGGAGTCTGGAATTGTGCTCGGTATATGGCAATAGGCTCACCCCCTATTACATAGGACTCATAACATAAATAGTGAAAAATGGGTGTTACATTGTACAGTGGCATAGTGTGCAACTCTGCCTACCCCTTCGGGGATAAAAGGCGTGATGTTATGTTATGTTATGCTTTGTCATAACATTTGAATTTTCCATCTGAAATGGGGTATAACTAAAAATAGGTAAACGTGTTTTGTTGTACCTTTTACACTACATTACATTACTACGACTAAATAAGTTTATAATTCAAGAATTAAAATATTAGGCTAATGCGAATATTATTTTCTTTGTCTACAATGAACGTATTTGATACATACCTGTATTGTTTGTAGGTATTATTGTAGGCAAACACTTGTATATACTGTTTGATTTTTGATTGAAAAAATGATATTATGGAAAAACGAGATCAATTTGCTATTCGAATTGAAATAGCAAGTTTAATTATAATCAATATATCAAATAATCTTATTGTGCTGACTTTCACAGAGATAAATGTATGTCTTTCCTTATTAATAAGTACTAAACATAACTAAAGCTGTGCTAAGTAATATCATGTTGCAATATTAGCATTATTATATATAACATTTAATAAAATAATGCTGAAAACACAAATAAATAAAAATCGCTTATGATTGCAATGCATTAAAAAAAATAGATCGCCATTGCAAAGAAGTACACGAGAAATTAATCTTACTATAATCTTAATTAATAATCTTAACATTATTAATAAATAGTACATATTCGAAAATTTTCCAAGTAAACTTCAATAACCCGATAATTAACAATTTAATATCTTGGAAAATAAACGAAATGATTTCAAACATTCAGATAAAGGTCTACAAAATCATAAAATACTTGAAAAAAAATTCTATCAATACAAATATAAGATCTGAAGATAATAGAAAGTCTTGGCCTATGCAATCAGGAGCAGGATAGAGAATAATTATCATACCAATTTGTAGACCTTTATCATTAATACTAAAGAGTATATTATACCTGCAGAGGGCTAATGATCTGCGCCTGAGTCGGCTGCTGAGTGCCCAGTACTGGCTGAGAGACCTGCACGCACTGGGCTTGGACTGGCACGGTTTGTGTTACGCCGCTTCCACCAGCCTTACTGGCAGCACCCTTAGCCCCACACTATTGAAAAAGAAACAGGACTTAACTATGTGTACAAAATACAAGCTCATCTTTATTGCGACTTTCTACGTTAAAGACCTGATTATTAAACTAAAAATTTTTAAAGACAAAATTGTCTTTTAGTCACTATAATAGTAAAGTTATTTGTTTTTTCTAAAGAGTAGATATTAAAGAACGAATTATAAACTTTATGATTACTGTATTTTTTTTGCATAATTTGGTTTAATAAAAACTTAGTACTAATATCCTCTATCTTTACAATTCTGTAGCTGTCAACTGCATTAAACTGTCAAACACCAAGCGGTCACCGGTGACCGAAACCTATTGTTCTATAATTGTGTCTATAATGACGGTACTCGACGAGTTAATATAGGAGTTTTTAATAAACGTTGACTAACACAGTCAACCCTGCCAGCTTCCTAAAAGATAAACGTCAACTTGATTGCTCACAATGGTTGTGCACGTGTTGTTAGATACTAGCTGTTACCCGCGACTTCGTTCGCGTGAAATTATTCATATTTCTTGTTAATTTATACTTTTTTGACACAACGTGTTGATTGGCGACTCGTATTTGAGAGCTAGTATGAAACAGAACGTTTATTGTCTACTCACAGTGGCGTGCACAGGTTTTCTAGACAGGGTAGGCAATTAAATATCGTATGATTAAACCCCTCCCCCCCGGTCATACAATGACAATCATACTCACACAAGACAGGTACCTACATGTACAGAATACATTTTGAAAAGTGCGTTCAAGAATATTGTGGTTTATTCTGTCGCCAAATTACATACACTGACATCTCGCGTATTTTTTGTGAACTACTTCATCAGCTATGGAATAAGCCAACAAAACTTACAAATAATTGAACATCTATTAATTATACTAATAATGAAGCATAAATTTGATGAACCAAATTCAATTATCGAATTGCTAGATAATCTATTCAAAATCATAATAATATTATATTATATTATATTACGAATTTAAGAACGTACGTAGTAATCGTAATTTACGAACGTTTACGAACGTTAACCTGCAACAAACAAAACAATAACAAGCGCGGCCGGCTGTGGCCGAGCCGAGTATTTATAAGCGGTACATTTGTTATTACATTACATAATTATTAATAATAAATTAATATGTAAATCAGTACAACCCGAAGTCTAAGTTGATATTTTTAAGAATTATCAAACAAGAAAATCAATAAAAGATCCATTAAAGTACATAATATTTACATTACCTACCTTTGACTTGGGTCAATTCTCGTAACTTGAGTACTGCCTATGGTCATTACCTGAATCTAGTCGTTGTAGGACACATTTTTGCGAAAACTTACTGTTTTTAACTTTCAACAAACACAAAAAATTATCTATTATCAACACAAACTTCACAATCGAATAATATAGGTACTTGTACTAGACACTGATAAACAAATACACTATTTGAAAAACCTACACATACATTTAACTACTTCTACACATATTTATGCAACTTTATGTTTAAAACTAATTCCTTATA